CAGCACTCTACCCAGGGGGACAGCTTGAGGCTCTGTCTCAAAAACAAAACAAAACAAAAAAAACGATCAAGAAGGAGACTCATAAAAGATGAGTCCAAATGTAGTGCATGAATTTAAGATTAGATCTTACTTAAAACCAAAAACTCTAAAGGGACACTATTTGGACAGTGGGGAAATGTAAATATGGACTGGTTATTAGGTTATCATTAGGGAAATAGTTTTAGTTTTTGTAGCTTACTAAATCTTTCCTTGGCACCTCTCTCTGATTTCTCCATTATTGGTACTGTCCTAAACCGTTCTAGGACATTGGCCCTCATCTTTTTAATTCCACTATTCCCATAAAAATAATTGAGGCTATAATTCTTTCCGAATAGCTTCATTGAAATATTACTTACATATCATACAATTTACCTATTTTTTTTTCTTTTTTGTTAGAGACAGAGTCTTACTTTATCGCCCTTGGTAGAGTGCCATGGTGTCACAGCTCACAGCAACCTTCAACTCCTGGGCTTAGGCAATTCTCTTGCCTCAGCCTCCCGAGTAGCTGGGACTACAGGCTCCCGCCACAACGCCCGGCTATTTTTTTGTTGTAGTTTGGCCGGGGCGGGTTTGAACCCGCCACCCTCGGTATGTGGGGCCGGAGCCCTACTCACTGAGCTACAGGCGCTGCCCACAACTTACCTATTTAAAGTGTACAATTATAATGGTTTTCGGTATATTCACAGTTGTGTAACCCATCACGCCAATCAACTTTAGAGCATATTTTTATCATACCAAAAAGAAACCCTCCCTGTACCCACTGGCATTTATATTATCTATTAACACTTGTTACATTTATGCCAGGCATTGTGCCAGATGCTGATAATAATACCGGACTGCTACAGTTACAATTCTTTACAGCCACAGTGCCTCCTCCGCCCAGCGGCTTCCCCGCCTAGAACGACTTCTCTACCCTAACCCATCTCCTAGAATTCTTTCCCAGCCTTTCAGGACCAACTCCCCCCCCGCCCCCCCCGCAAGTGGATTCGGCCCCGAAGCTCCGGTTAACTTTCTTTACCCTTATTTACTCCGCTTCATTCACACCCGCGGAACTAGAATCATGTTGATAAAAACGAACACGTTCTGTGGATGCAATGCTTTTCCCCCAGGAATAGCCAGCTTCCCTCCCCAAGGACTGACTCTTCTTTTTCTGAGGAAATGGGAGAAGAAACTTCCGCAACCCCAAGAATCATAGATTTGAGCGACTCCCGGGAAGAGCAGGTAGAAGGGAATAGTCTGTGTCGGTCACATCTACGCGAAGAGTCCTCCACCTCTCTGTGGTCCATGTTTCTGCCCACTTCCGGCGCTCTCGTCATCCAGGCCCGCCCCGACGCCGGCGTGACGGAGGCACGCTGGGGGGTGACCTCACCCTCCAACATGGCGGCGGCGGTAGATTAGGGCTGTGGGTCGAAGCAACCTCCGCCACTGTGGGACCCGGTCGAAAGCAACTGCCGCCGCCGCCACCGCCGCCTCTTTCATCTCTTCTGGGGCAGGGGCCAGGGCCAGGTGAGGGGAGTGGGACTTCGGGCAGAAATAGTTGGGTGAGGAGGAGGTTTGCACCTGGGCAGGAAGGTGTCTAGAGACTATACCAAGTCACTGACTCGCCGGTGGTCCGACAACGCGTGACAGAGTGTGTGTGTGGTGTGTGTACCAGCGCTCCTTCACGGGGTCGCTAAGCTTAAGGAGTCCATTTCATGATACTCTGACCTGTCCCGCGTGGTCCCAGCGCGGTCTCGAGCCGAGCTGCTCCCGGTGTGGGGTGCCTGACCCATAGACACTCGGCTTTTGATCCACACTCCCGTCCTTCCCCGTAGACAGCTTCACATGGAAAACTTGGGCCATTTTTAGGACTAGTCTGGGGAACGTGGACTTATTTTTGGACGAGGAAAGGGGTTTTATGAGATTTACTTTAGAATGATTACAGATTAGCTTTGGCAGTCTAGTCGTTTCTTCTCACAGATTGTTAGAAATTTTAAATTTCTCAGCCTTAATCCACTGTTTTGACACCCGCCTCCTGAAAAAAAAAAAAAACCATTGCCTTCTTGATTACCTTTGGAGGCAATACAGTTCACTCTACGTCGTTTTTTCCTTTGACTTTCTTCCTCTCAACATTCTAATCAGATCCCAAGTTTTTGCCTTCTTATCCCACTATAAGGGAGAACTGGACTTGAGACCTAGAGTTGAGGCTCTAACATAGGGTTGAAAACGGACGGATTTGGACAATTGTTCACACACTGGCGACTGATAGCTTTGTTTAGCTCTTAGCCACTCCCTGCAAAAGTTTTTATTAATCCAAAATAGCCATCTAATTGTCTCTCTTTACAAGTTTTAGTTCAGGCTGATAGTCCCTCTCCTTTTTTTGCTTTATGATGTAAAACAAAAACATTTTTTTGTGTGTGAAATTGTTAGTAAGGTTTCCCCTGGAGGTTTGGCATAACCAGAATGTTGCTGTCTGCCCTGACTTGTGTGACCTTGGATGAGTTGCCACACCCTTTGGAAAACTTTTTTTTTAAACTCCCCAGAAAATTAAGCAAGTGGTTGTGTAGATTGTGAACTACTTGTACTTCAAGCCATTATGAAATAGTCATTTGGTAATAGGCAGTTAAGGGTTTTGAAAATCCTTTCACTCTGAATGGGCAGGTAGTATTCTGTATTTTTAAAAAATGGCTCATTTTCTTATGTGGAGGTATAGCCAGTGGTTGAATTCAGTTGAAGGATGTGTAAGGTTGAATCTAATCAGTTTTGTAAAAAACAAAAAGGTGTGTTCACTAGCACATCATTTAATCGATATTTATTAAATGTCACACTAAATTTTAGGACAGGTGATTTGCAACAGTAATAATTTTTTTTTTTTTTTGAGGCAGTCTCACTTTGTCACCCCGGGTGGAGTGTTGTGGCTTATAGCTCCTAGCAACCTCAAACTCTTTGGCTCAAGCAGTTCTCTTGCCTCAGCCTCCCCAGTAGCTAGGACTCCTGGAGCCCGCCACAATACTCGGCTATTTTTAGAGACAGGGTCTCACTCTTGCTCATGCTGGTCTTGAACTTGTGAACTTAGGCGATCCACCTGCCTTGGCCTCCCAGTGTGCTGGGGTTATAGGCATGAGCCACTGTGCCTGGCAATAATAATTTTTTTAAAATATGTTTTTCTAACATTATTTTAGATGTGCAAAACAAGTAATTTTTTTTTCTTTTTTAAAGATGAGGTCTTGCTCAAGACAAGTTTTAAAGAATTAGTTCCCTTCTTTTATCATTTTTCGGACATGATTATAATTTGTATTTTACTCTAAGTAACAGCAAGAGGTCTTGTTTAATATATATCATGAGGGCGCCCTATTTTTAGAGTAACTTTTTTCCTTGTGAGATTGTAATGTGATGATAAGGTAACAAGGTTTGAGAGAGGCATATCTCACACATTCGTGTGAAAATTCAGTCCTCATGAACCACAAAAGGATCAGAGTAGCTGTTTTTTTTAACAGCTTTGTCAAAATACAATTACCATACCATACAACTCACCAGTTGTACAGTTAATGATTTTCAGTATATTCACAGGGTAGTGTACCTCCACTACCACAATTTTCCTTATTGCCAAAGAAACCACATACCCATTAGCAATTGTTCTGTTTTTTTTGGTTGACAGAGTCTCACCCTGTGGTACCAGCTGTAGTGCCATGATAGTATAGCTCACAGCAACCTCAAACTTCCTGGGCATAAGCAGTCCTCTTGCCTCACCCTCCCATGTAGCTGAGACTACGGGTGTCCCCTCAATGTCCACCTAGTTTTTCTATTAAGTTAACATGCAGGTATTTTTTTCTATTTTTGGTAATCTTTTGTTCTTGCTTAGGTTAATCTTGAATGTCTGAGTTCAAGTGGTCCTCCCACCTCATCCTCCCAGAGTGCTAGGATTACAGGTGTGAGCCACTGCATTAGGCCTGTACTTCATTTCTTTTTTATGGCACATTATATAGTATACATATGGATATACTACATTTAAAAAATTTATCAGTTAATGTGCTGTTATTTCTACTTTTTGGCTGTTCGGTATAATGTTGCTTTGAAAATTTACATGCAAATTTTTGTGTAGGTGTGTGTTGTTGTTGTTCTCTGGCATGTAGCTAGAAATGGAACAGAATAACTGAATTTTATGTCTCCCTTTTACACAAGCTGTATATACATATATGGGAAGCCTAATTATTGTGAAAGTCAGATTTCAGGGCAGGATGAAAATGAGGCATTCCTCCGTGAATTATCTGTGAATGCCAACTGCTGACTGAATATTTTTGGGCAGCTCTTAACACGACTGAACAAGAGTGTTTCAATTAGGCATGTTTTAATTGGAAAGGGATAGTCTACATTAGTATACTAATGTCTGCTGAGTTTAAAAATAATATCTTGATTAGTTGCATTTCTCAGGTATATGGGGTGAATTTTTGAAATTTCCCAATTTTTATGAGGATTATTTTATTTTACTTCTTTCAAAGAAAATCCTAAAATGAAAAGGAGTTATATGAAGCATAGATTGGAAAATGTCCTGTACTTCATGTTAGTTGGTGGAGTTTAAAATTCCAAGAGATATGATAGCCAAGAAACTTTGTTAATGTTTAAAATTCCTACTTTTGAGCCAGGCACGGTCACGCCTATAATGCTAGCACACTGGAAGGCTGAGGCAGGAGACCAACCTGAGCAACAGTGATACTCATCTCTTCTAAAAATAGAAAAACTAGTCAGGCATCGTAGTGGGTGCCTTTAGTCGCAGCTCCTTGGGAGGCTGAGACAAGAGGATCACTTGAGCCTGAGAGTTTGAGGTTGTTGTGAGGTATGACACCATGGCACTCTACCCAGGGCAACAGAGTGGGACTCTGTCTCAAAAAACAAACAAAATTCCTCCTTTTGGTTTGTGACTGAGTTATCTGTGAATTTTTATTATTTTCTTTATAAATTACAGATGTGGTCGATTCTGCATTACTGGAATATTTAATAATCTTTTTTTTTTTTTTCTTGAGACAGTTTTAGCATGTTGCCCTCGGTAGAGTACCATGATGTCACAACTCACAACAACCTTAAACTCTTGGGCTTAAGCGATTCTCTTGCCTCGGCCTCCCAAGTAACTGGGACTACATGCACCCACCACAGTGCCTGGCTATTTTTTTTGTTGCAGTCCTCATTATTGTTTAGCTGGCCCAGGCTGGGTTCAAACCCTCCAGCCTGTGCTGTACTACTGTGCTACCAGCGCCAACCCAAATCCAAGATGATTTGATGTGCAAATTTGGAAACAGATACAAAAGATTTCTCATGTTGGTGCAGATTTACTTTTTTCATAAGAATTTCTAGAAGGTGCCAGATGTGGTGGCTCGTGTCTATATTCCCAACACTTTGGGATGCTGAGGCAGGAGGATCACTTGAGACAGTGAGTTCAAGCCCAGCATGGATGCATAATGAGCCCCATCTCTATGAAAAATAAAAATTAGAGGAGTCTGGTGGTGTGCACTAGTAGTCCTAGCTACTCTGGAAGCTGAAGTAAGGAGATCACTTGAGCCTAGGAGTTCTAGGCTGCAGTGAGCTATGATTGTGCCACTGTACTCCAGTCTGGGTGAGACCCTTTCTCAAAAAAAAAAAAAAAAAAAAAAGTAGGATTTAGTAGCTGCTGTATACCTTCTGATTATGTTTCAAAAAATAAGCCTAATGCCTGTGGTATAATATTACTAGTAGCATTTTGGGATTTGGACTGATACTTATAATAGAAATCCAGTTTTTGTTTTGTTTTTTAAAACAGATCATCTAGGCTCGGCGCCTATAGCTCAACCGGCTAAGGCGCCAGCCACATACACCTAAGGTGGCGGGTTCGAATCC